AGTTAATTGGAATTTCCCAGATACCAGGAAAAGAACTGCAAATTATAAATCAGCTAATTAATTGCGATACGTTGTAAAAAGTAAATAAACCAAATTACTCAGATTTAGACCCAACGTGACGGGCCAGGAAATAAAGATAAATGCAAGGTGATTCCCGAGTTTAGTTCCAAATATGGACGGAAACTGTGCCTCAAAAAAAAAAAATCAGCTTCGATGCGGTATAGATGCGCGCCCAGCTGAACTAAGATGTTTACAACTTCATGAACCCATTGGTGGATCCAGGACGGATTCCCGGGGTGGAGTGACGGGGAGTGAGAAGAAGAGTGAGGCTTTTTTCTGGAAGGGAGCGACGGGGAGTGGGGAGGAAAATTTCCTCCCACCCCGGAACTACGCAAAAACTAGGAAGGAAGATGTAACACAACTACTTAGAGTTATTTAACTCAGAGTTACTTTAGGCCTTAATTAACTTTAGTAGTAATTTTAGACCAGGGCTTTTGCAGTAGTGATGCTCGTGTGGTTGACCCCTCCCCCATCCCCTGAATTCGTTTATGAATGAACCGGTGCATCTTACCTCTGCATGTCAATTTATCGTTCTTATTACCCCTATCTACTTCCCTCACTCAGACAGTGTTTCTACCCTTAGTGATGCTCTTGAATGAATTTAAATTGCTTGCTGGATTAATGAAAATTGTAAGCAGCATAAACCGATACAACCTTTGTGGGCAATTTTCGTCTAAACATGGCCAGGAAACGCGATAATCGAGAGTTTGTGGCCAATATGGCTCTCCATCTGGTCCTGGATCAGCTATCAGCGTATTGTCGTAAAAGAAACCAGCCCTTTTCATCATCTGAAAATTTTTGTATGAATTTGATAACTCAGTTCGGGTATAAATTAATCCATACAACGAAAATCACCGCTCAAAAATGCAAAAATCAGAAGCAAAAAACTAAAAAAAGGACCCGAAATCCAAACTCACAGAGGGAAAGGAACGAACCGTAACAAGACAGAATTGATACTCGAAATGACTATTAGTTCCCAACCAATCCATTTGTGGCGAAGCCGACAACCATGTCGTTTACTAATTATTTTTATGCGTTTTCGCATATATGCAAACGCAAAAGCACAAATTAGCAAGAGGCTGTCTGTGCGTGTGCTTTTCAGCTCGAGAACCAAAAAAGCTAGGATGCTGAAACTTCGGAAGTGTTTGTCTACACCATTTGCGATCCTCGGGTTTTAATGTCACTACCTGCGTACAGACGCCTTAAAAAATATGTAAATTTTTTGGCTGGAAAGTGATCTAGGGAACCAGGAAGGATAGAGAGCTGAAACTCTGCAGAGATATTCTCTGTATATGTGAACTAAAAATTTCAAGTCCAGCCCCTAAGTGAGTATAGTTTTCATGTACGGGCACGTGAAAGTTTTGTCAAGAAAACTGCTAACTCGGCAACAAGAAAAGCCGGAAGGCTGAAATTTTGGGGTATTGTTCCCATCCCAAGTACAACGATGTTTTACGCTAGTGAGTACAACCATTCATGCAGCTAACGACCTCAGTACTTCAAGTCCGGTGCAAAAACGCGTGATTGGTGCAAAAACCCGGTGCAAAAAAAAGTCCGGCGCAAAAACGCAAGCCTGGTGCATTCCAGCCTGGGTATCTAACTGAACTTCGTTACAGATTCCACTGCTTTTCCATGTAAGGAGGACTTTCTCCCACAATAAAAAAAATAACTTTTTTTTCAAATGCTGCTGGAAAATGTTCACCTCGAACTGTTCATCACTGCCAGCAGCAATTTGTGGTGCTCGCATTCCTCGAATTTCATCTTCCGGAACATTTCCAAGGTGTGCTAGAATATCTCGCTGACCACTCATTTCGTCTAGCCATCTTTCTTGAAATTTCCCCGTTAAAGCTTCGTGCCTGTAATTAATAAACAGAGCAAATCGTTGGCTAACTGAATTTCTCAACATGCTTAATCAGTTGAAAGTCTGCTGCATATTTCATCAATTTTGCCGCAAACGTTAGCAGAAATGGATAAAGAAAAAGATTTATTTTTCATTACTTTAAATTAAATTTATAAGAAACGTGCATAACTTGATGGACCGAAACACTTCTTTCCATTACAATAACCACTCAAATTTTCTAATTTCCACTTTTTACCTTCTTTTTTCATCCTCCTTTTTATTTTGTTCCTTCATATTATAATTTTCTATTACAAGAAATTTTGTGTGTACACAGTCTAATAATTGCTAAGACTCCCTAAACAAATCAGTGTGGAAACTCTATGTTAGCGATGATACTAGATTTTTCTTGTACATGGGATTGCAGTTAAGCTATTTTAGTCCTGAATTACATCATCTCCGTTTGGTACCCAAGGCCTGTCAGATATGTGCATTACTTTTTCGTTCAATTTTTCAACGGTTGAGATTTCTGTGCATTAAGCGCAAGTCTAAAGACCTTCTTTGTCTGAGACAAGCATGAATTCCATGTTTTTTTTAAGGATGTCAAATATTTCGACTCAATTTTACGTCTCAATTTTTGGCATTTTCGCTTATCCATTTAGAGGAAATCTTTAAAAAAAGGAGACACTGACGATCTCAGATGATGCCGATGGCAGTATTTTGTGGGTACCACTCACAAATGCGTGACGACATCCTCCGGCTGTCTGCATGGTTGGGCCTCTAGGTC